GTACCGCGAAAGTTACTGTGGGACAGGTTTTCAATGGGTCTGAGAGGATTTAGCTTCTACATAAAAATATTCCTCCCATATATTGCATCAAAAATGTACATGACACCTAAATTAAATCAAATATATTTTTCCTGCTTTCTTCACTGTTTTATGGGATTAGGGGAGGAAGAGGGAGGGCAGGATAATAAAGAAGACTTCAGTCAAAAGTGTTTTGTTGACTTGGTTCGAATGGACTGTTTCTGTTTTTCAAGGAGTAATGCATCAAATATTCATTGTGTTTTACATCATATTAATGAGGTGTAGCTATGCGCATGCTTTACTAGAATACTGACAGGATGTTCGCTGTCTGCCCAGTAGCTCCAGCCAGACGCTACACAAAACTTAATAACCAAACATTCCTGTGAAAGATTGGATGTCTGGCAAACCTAGAATCAACACAGCTCTGTGCCCGTTTCACAGATAAAGACTGGGAAGACATTAAGAAGATGCCTGAACATTCAACACTGATGAAAGACTTCAGAAGAAATACGTAAGTTTAATAATTGCCCTGCACATCTTCTAGTCTTCAATGGCTGACTGCTTTTCCACAGGAGTGTTCATTCATAGGTCATCTGCTTTTGATGCAGGTGTGGGCTGCCCTCTGTAATTGAGGAAGGCTTGCGATAAATGCAATGCATGAAGGATTAGTGTTCAGAAGGAAGCAAGATCTGCGCTCCACGGGGCGATCAGAGATCAGACTCGAGGCCCTGTACGGTCAGCAGTCCAGCACTGTCAGGACTGAACAGCTGTCTCAATCCCTGTTAGCTGCTTCACACTCTGTCCTTTAAACAGGTGAGAACAGAGGCAAGAGAACAGAGGCAGAGTGACTCGCACACACAGAGCATGCTCCAGCTATATCCTTCTTAGTATTTCAGTGTTTCCTTACACGGTACCAGGGAATTATAGATGGATGTGTGAAACTGGCCTGGTAAGAACTTGGCATTTCCCACAAAGCTTCAAGGCCTAGCTGATCTGTTTGCCTGCCTGTGATACCATGGCCAGCAGAAGAGTTCAGATCTTTGCTTTATTTCCAGTTGTGTCTCTGAGCTTTACAGTCCACAGCGCACACCCTTAAAATCAGACTGAGGTTTTTTTTCTTCTTCATGTTTCAGATTTTAATGACAGAGTGTGCTCTCTCCAGGCTGATGAAAGGGGTTTCTCCTTTTTATCTGCACTGACACGTAAAACTTGTTTGCAGCAGAAAGGGGGGGTGGGGGGTGGGGGAGACTTTATCTGATGAATGAAAGCAGGAGCTGCTGTAAGGGATGCTTTTAGATGTAGCTCGCTAAATCCACAAAGCCCAGCTACAGATGGTACTAAGACACATTCTGAAGACTTAGCCACATTTAATTAATTTTTTTCCCTTTTTTCCCCCAAGATGTGGTTGCATTGAAGATTCAGGTTTTGATTTTAGCTGTCATTGGGAAGTGTCCCAGGTCTGCACAGAGAGTCTTTGAAGCTTGGTTTGGTTCGGCTTGAAGCATCCCATGAAAAGAACTGTCATTTTAGTAAATGCTTCAAACGAGAGCGTTTAGGGAGAAATTAACCAGTGAAAGGTGATTGTATGCTTACAGAAAGAGGAGGCTGGTGGAGGGGGCATCATTTAAATTGTGCTGATGCTCATATTATGAATTCTCAATTTTAGTCCAAGGTGTTGAATATAAACAATGTAATCGATATTTCATTCTGTGTTGCTTGTCCTTGTGGGCTTTTGAATAGAAATTTATCTTTTCTTATATACTGGTCAAGCGCAGCTGAAGGTTCGCTGTGCAAGATTTCTCTGTCGCCCCTGTAACCTTCTCCTGGTGTCGAGGCACGCTGGTCTTCCTTTCTTTGCCCAGTTAATAAAAACAGTTTCTTCGTGTGGAATGCGAGTTCACAGGGCTTGACTTCAAGAAGACGTCAGGGAGCTGGGAACAGGAGTCTGCGTCTGATGACTGTCACGGCTGTATGGTGGACGGGCAGTGGCAGACTTGATGGCCCTCTTGTTTAGTTCGACGGGATTGTCCTGCCTGCTGTCTTACAGGGGATGGGTAGATTCTGAGGAGCAGAGTTGATCAAATAATCTCACACTTCGTGCAGCAGCAAATAACCGTGTTTCAGTTCCCAAGTGTCCAGTGCAAGTGTCTGCCGCGGTTGGTCTCCCCACACGCGCCTGGGCAGAGCAGGAGACGGGGGCTGCTAGTGTACCTCCTCTGTGAAGGAGGGGCCCGGCCGCAGAGAGGCTGGCTCCTGTTCTGACTTTGCCGAGGGGCGGTGAGGTGCAGACCCCCCGATGCAGCTCTTTAAGTTTCTCAGATTCATCATTCTGTCAGTTTGCATTCTGAATCCTCTGCGTGTGACTTTTCCTTTCACGCTTTGTTTTTTTGCTTTGAACTGCCACTGATGAGTCTTTTTAATGCGTTGCAGGTACACAAACTGCAGTCTTACTAAGTACATGGAAAAACACAAAGTCAAACCAGACAGCAAAGCATTCCACTTGGTAAGCCCGGTTCCGGACCGCTTTGTGTTGGTCTGTCTGTGTGCTGTGGAGATGTGTGGAGGGCAGTGAGGGAGGCCTCAGGACCAGTGGATCAACACCCAGCTCAGCTGCACAAAAATCCACTATGTGGTTTAGGTTGGCTACGTTAAAAGTTCAAGGGACATATGGAGGGGAATTTAAGCACGGTTTTCCTGGTTGTCCAGCTAATGCAAGCACATTGCAAATGCCATTTTAATCTGAAGACTATTACTTTTATTTGGAACCAATTTGAAACAAAAAATACAACCGATTATCTTTATATGAAGTTTCCTTCATCTCTTCCCACAAATACCCAAATGATCAATACAGATGTTTGCAGCTGTTCTTCTGTCTTAGCAGTTGGTCGCCTCAGTGTGACACTACACCCTCCCAGACAAACTGTCCAGATAATGGTTGTTTTCTGCAGCTCTAGCAGTGATGAAACTTTCACAGCCACCTAGCACTCTCAGCGTTGCTCTGTGATGAGAGAAAGGCAGCTCTATTACCCCAGTCATCTGACCATATTGGGAATTTCTGTTTGCCCCTCAAATGAAATCAATGAAGGTAGAGAATTAGCATCTTTTTAGATTACATGTTTTTTTTTTTCTTGAGTGCAGTGTACACATTGCGGTGAAAGTAAGTGATGGACTCAAACAGAAAATGTGTAATTTTGTTAGACGCAAAGCATGCAGGTCAGTTTTTTTTTTTATTTCAACCGAGGCCATTTATTGAGCTATTTAAAAAAGCGATGGCCACTTAGCAAAGGATTAATTCTTACTGTACAAGTTGCACTAGTTTATAAGTGACTTAACTCCATGTGGTTTCAGTGTGTCCCAGTAATCTGAGGCCGCCTGGGCACCTACAGTAGTTGTGCGAGACCTACAGTACAGCCACCCGTTCACAGTGTCCTCTAATTCCCCTCCTGTTTCAGCTCCAGAAGCTGCTAACCATGGACCCCATCAAGAGAATCACCTCAGAGCAGGCCATGCAGGACCCCTACTTTCTAGAAGACCCCCTTCCCACGTCCGAGTAAGTGTCCCCTCCTCCCCTCCGGACGCCAGCTGTGGCGCCACCTTGAGGGCCTGTCTGGAAGCAGGTGTAGACAGTGGCTTGACTTGGGTCCGATGAGGTGGGAACCCTTGCTCTTCAGAGTGCGCTTCTGCACGACAGGCACGAGAGAGGCGCTTCTTCGGCTTTTCCGCTTGCCTGTCTCTCCTCGGCTTGTGTGCGCGCAAACACACACACTCACTCCTGCCTCGGCTCCTGGTGGAACTGTATGCATGGAAGAGCACTTTCTCCATCGTCCTGGCCGGCGTTTGTGTCCAGGGTTGTTGGGGATCTTACTGCGGCTTTAGCACTGTCTCCTTTAAGAGTGCATCACGCTGCCCTGCGGAGTGCGCTGATGCCAGGAGCACGAAGCGCATTCCCAGTCGCTCAGTGCTGGGGCTGTGCACTTCCAAGGGGGGAATCCAGCGGCCAGCAGCAGCCCTGTCTCTTGTTTGTGCCAGCTGTGGAGGAGTGTGGGTGTCCTCCCTGGCACTGCCCCACTGGACACTGACGCAGGGGGAGTCCTGGCCTCCACCTCCGCACTACCCCTAGCCTGCCGTCTACACGGCGTCCAGATCGGGCGGAGAGCGCCGCTGTCCAATTCTTCACCACTGCTGCGACTACCTCACGCCTGCTACCCAGACATCAGGCATAGCAAGACCTAGGATTCAGAATTCCCCATCACGGGATGAGTTCGGATTCTTGCTGAACCCGATTGTCGTAAACTGAAGCCGATGGTTAAAAATTTGCATTTCCAAAAAGGCTTCCCCTTTTAGAAATCTCTGTTTGTTGCACGCATCAGTCAGTGCTGTCTAACACCGCATTGTGAAGGGCTGGACTGGTCCTATACTGCCCCCTGTCTGTGCTGTGTGCAAATGAATTTCCTTCAGTAGAATAATTTCCCTGGCTGCAGTGTCATAGGAGAGAGAATCATTGAGCTCTCTTCCAGTGGAATTGGGTGTATATATTTCAGTGCCTTCGTACAGTAGCATCATGTTTAAACTTGTGAGGTATCGAAAAGGCACTATAAAGGTATAGGCTTCTGTCTCACTCCTCTCCCAGTGCTTGATCTAACTGAGGAGGTCTTCACCTGCTGTGTGCTTTTCCCACCTGGGGCTGCCCTCTCCTTTTCCCAGGGCTTTCCTTAAAAGGGGTTGAGGTAGCAAAGGGAAGTTCGGGACGGTGTCACACTGAGGTACCTTGTGTTGTAGTGTCTTTGCAGGCTGCCAGATCCCCTATCCCAAACGTGAGTTTCTCACGGAAGAAGAACCAGAGGACAAAGGAGACAAAGTAAGAAATTAATAAATGATGCGTTTTAGGAAAGAAGTGATTCCAGATATTGCAGGCCAGCTTTAACAAGTGGAAAGTGAGACCCGCAGAGGTATGTAGGAAAAGAGCAGCTCACCACTGGTGGGGGTGACGGGGATCCCCATTACCTGTAAAGAACTTCCAGTGAAGTGTCCAGAAAAGTGCTATATCAGTGTAAGGATATAATTAGAATTATAAGTTATAAGAGCTTCACGAATACTAGTCAATACTATTATAGCACAGAGGGGTTATTTGTGCAGGAATTAGCAAATAAGCTAAAGTCTTTCAGAATTCAGCCGTGACTATCATCGTCTGTCTCTGCTAGAAATCTGATCCTGTTTTTTTACTTCTGTCTGAATTCCACTCGCTCTTCTGTGAACAAAATGGCAGATGAAAATGATGATCGAGCTGCCTTGTGTGGTAGAAATTGCTCTGAAGGGTTACTCCACATGAAGCCCGGGTTTTCTTTTGGTGGGAGGAGGCGGGGGGGGAGGTCTCTCTGCTTGGTGTATACTAACATTCCTTCCTCCTTTTTTCCTCCCCCCTCTGTTTCTTTTTCTTCTTTGGACACTTGAGAAGAACCAGCAGCAGCAACAGGGGAACAACCACACTAACGGGGCGGGCCACACGGGGAACCCAGACAACAGCCACGCGCAGGGACCCCCCCTGAAGAAAGTCAGAGTGGTTCCTCCCACCACTACCTCAAGTGGGCTCATCATGACCTCAGACTACCAGGCAAGTCCCTTTTGGTTTAAAAGCTCACGTTTTCTTGGCGTCTTCTCCCCCCACGCCCCCACGCTCGGGATCGCCCACCTTCCACCTTGCCTTCCTCTCTCTGTCTCGCTCCTGCCCGATCCAAACCAGGGAGCGCGCAGGACACTGTGGGGCACGGAGGAAGCTGGATTTCCGCTGCCGAGTCTCGGATGAGGCATTGCATTCCCCTGTGTGCGTAGTGGCTGGGTGGGTGCTCGGTAGTGAGGGAGTAAAAGTCATTCTTGCTCTTTTACAGCGTATTTGTTGGTGTGCGGTCTGTCCACAGCAGCTCCACACCCACCAGTCAGCCTTCTGTATGATCGTCTGCCTCTGGCCCTGCTGATGCGCGGCCCTGAGCTGTATTATCCTGTCTGTGCACCTGTGTGTTTCTGTGCGTGTGTACGCAGCCAGGCTCTGACTCAGCAGTTCTCTGTCTCCCTCGCAGCGCTCCAACCCACACGCTGCTTACCAGAACCCGGGACCAAGCACATCACTACCCCAGAGCAGCATGGGATATTCCTCTACCTCCCAGCAGCCCCCGCAGTACTCGCACCAGACTCACCGGTACTGAGGGCTTCGGGGGCTCC